AAGAATTTCAGAATTTCAGAATTTCAGAATTTCAGAATTTCAGAATTTCAGAATTTCAGAATTTCAGAATTTCAGAATTTCAGAATTTCAGAATTTCAGAATTTCAGAATTTCAGAATTTCAGAATTTCAGAATTTCAGAATTTCAGAATTTCAGAATTTCAGAATTTCAGCTATGCAGAATTTCAGAATTTCAGAATTTCAGAAATTCAGAAATTCAGAAATTCAGCTATTCAGAAATTCAGAATTTCAGAATTTCAGAATTTCAGAAATTCAGCTATTCAGAAATTCAGAAATTCAGAATTTCAGCTATTCAGAAATTCAGAAATTCAGCTATTCAGAAATTCAGAATTTCAGAATTTCAGAATTTCAGAATCTTAGAATCTTGAAAACTGAGGATCTCAGAATCTCAGATATATCAAGAAGTTCAAAAACCCGGATTTCCAAAAGTTTAAGCAAATCCCTAAACTCAAAATTTTCCAGAGTAATCTGAAAATCTGGAATTCCAAGAAATTGCTTTTTTTTCAAGAATTCTAAGAATTCGGAAGTCCAAAAACCAGCTTTTCTCAGATTTCTAGATTTTCAGAATTCTTCGATTTTTCAATTTAAGGAATTCAGAATTTTGCTCACTTATACTCCTCCTGCTCCAGCAGCGAATCCGGTTCCACAAATTCATGAGTTCGATTCGCCAGCTCAGTTAAAGTCATCGATTTCATGACAGGCAGACTGAAAACAATCGAATTGAACAGCAAATCCAAAAGCAGACATGTCCCAATGTCTTTTTTCTGAAAAATAGAATATATCTCATTAGAGCGAGTTTGCTTCACTCCTACCGTATTCAGCTCACTACACAAATATCGTTCGCAAGCTCTCTTCAGAACTGGCAAATCGTTTAGTTCAGCATCAATGAGGAAATCGACAAAATCCTCGACATATTCCATTTCTGGCAGGACAACCTTGTTGAAGTATAGATTTGCGAGCATCTGGAAGATTGTAACTTCTATAACTTTTTGAGTTTTTGGGCTACAACATTAGTTTGTATACCATTCGAAAGAGCACAAAGATTTAAGTTTGGTGTTCCAATGTTTTGAAAATCCATTAAAATTTAATTTAGCCGACTTCTATATTTTTCAAGATTTTCTTTTTTTTCTCCAACTCACATCATGAACATGCTCCTTATCACTCTTATCACATTCGAAATGTGGCTCCTCCTCTTCCTCTTCATCATCTCCATCGTCTTCTTCATCTGCTTCTGAATCATCTTCCGTTCGAGAATCATACATGAAGGACAGACGACGTTGCTCACAAGACTCACAGCAACTCACGAGGATCTGAAATTTAGAGACATTTTCGAGAAAAATGCTCATAACTCGCTTCAAATGAAATATTTTAGCTTGAATTTAATATCAAATTGCAGGTTTTGGAAAGATCTACAATATAATATAAATTTTACTGTTTAAAAAACGTTTCTAAATAAAGGAGTAACCGCTAAAGTACCATGAGTTGCTCCGCCCACCCGCCATAACTTGCTTCAAGCTCGACATTTTAGGTTGATTTTAACTTCAAAATGTAGGTATCGACAAGATCTACAAAATGATATGTAATTCGACATCATTCAAATTTAAAATATCGAGCCAGAAGCCGGAAAAAGTCTATCCGCCACTACTCGAGCCCATTTACCAATCTTTTTCAGGGCTTTTGATTTGCCAATCAAAATCCGAATACAGTCAAACCTAATATCATTTTATAGATCTCAAGTTCTACATTTTCCTTTTTATATCAAACAGAAATTTACGCTATGAACCGAGTTAGGCGCCGTACCGTATTTGGACAGGGTTAATGGACAAGTAGCGTTATCTTTAAGCTCAATTATCTCGGTCCACATGAGAGATATCAAAGTTTTGCCAACTGATAAAATGTTGCTAATAATATGATAAACATTTTATTAGTTGACAAAATTTTGATACCTATTATAGGAAGCGAGATAACTGAGCTGAAAGCGGGCGCGACTGAGCTACGCGGTTGACGCCGCTGGTTCCGCCACTCCTATAATTACACACTTCGAGCTCAATTATCTCAGCTCCTGTAACAGATACCAAGAAGTTTTCCATTAATAAAATGTTTCTGATATTACGGTACCCATTTGATCATTTGACCACATCTTGTTATCTTTTATAGGAACCGAGATAATTGGGTTCAAAGCGTGCGCAACGCGGTTGACGCCGCTGGTTACGCCTCCCCACACTTCGAGCTCAATTATCTCCACTTCTAAAAGAGATATCAAGAATTTGCCAATCAATAATGTTGCTGATGATATGAAGAATATTTTATTATTGTCTATTCAAAATAATCGCGCGGAGGAACGAGTAAAAAAAAGGAGGGTATCAAAACCTGTAGAGGCGCTGTAGAGACGCAGACGTTTTCACTCGTTCACTCGCGCGATTTTTTTGAATAGACAATAGCTGACAAATTTTCATTTTCGCTGATGAGAGCCGAGATTATTGAGCTGAAATTGTGCAAATACCGTTTAGCTCGGTAGCTCGTACCAACTGTCCTGTTTGAGTTCCTAGAAGACGCTAAACCGGGATCACTACGAAACGGGAATTAAGAAGCTGCAGTTCTGAAAAAAACCCCAAAAAGTTCCCTACCCTCTTGAACATATGATCATCCAATGCACTTTCATGTTGATTCTCCCTGAATTGCGAAATCAACGAAGCCCTTCTGGATCCATTATCCTCCTCCTTCTCCACTTTCAACAACTCTCTCCTCTCCATCAATTTCTCTCTTTCCTCATCCAGAATCATTTGTACTTTTCTCTCGTAGCTCGTCTTCTCATTATCACTCAAAACTCGCCGTTCCACACGTCCATTCCTCTTCTTCGATCTCCGTTTCCATACTTTACTGTTCACTCTTGCATTGTAATTCGCCGTCAGGAATGATGCTCGAGGAGTTGGAGAAATGGCATCCAGGTAGGTTGATGGTTCGAAGAGGCGAGTCTCCATATTGATGATTATTGAGATTTTGATCACGTTGTCCACATTTTCTTTGAGGTATCTGGAGACGCACTCTCGATCGGCGTCCGTGATCTCACAACCTACTCCTTTTGTCATTTTTGTCGTTTTCGTCTCCTGAAATTTTTTTTGGAAAGCTTATAACTATTTAGAATTAAATTTTACACATTTTTACAATTGACAACTTTCAGCTAGCTCTTATCGTTTTTAAGTTATGAGCCTTTAAAGGGGGGGGGGGGGGGGGGGNCNTNNAAANANANNANG